CAAATAGAAACGAGCGCCGGAAACCAGAAAGACGCCGAAAACCAAACAAACACCGAAGACCAAAGGCGCACTGGAAACCAAAAAGGCGTCGCCGACCAACAGGTCGCCACACTCAAAGGATGGGCAGACCAAAACAATGGCGCGCCGCAGTCTAAACGAGTGGCGAAAACCAAGGGAGCGCCGCGAAACAAAAAAACAGAGAACCCAGATGGCGCCGAGAACCCAGAAAGACCGCAAGCCAAAGGAGCGCCGAAAAGCAAAAAGGCGCCGAAATCCAAAAAGGCGCCGAAGAGCAAAGAGCCAACAGCGCGCCAGAAACCAAGAGAGCGCCGACAACCACGGCGGCGCCGTAAACCAAAGACCCGCCGGAAACAAAATGTGCTCCGATAACGAACAGGCTGTCGAACACCATAGGAGCGTCGCAAACACAAAGAGCGTCGAAGGCAACAAGAGTCGCGGAAAGAGAAAGAAAGACATAAACCAAGACGGCGCAGAAAACTACAAATGCACCGAAAACTGAAGGAGCGCCGAAAACCAATAGGGCGCCGACAGCCTACCAGACGCCGAAGACCTTCGATTCGCCGAATACCAACAGAACGCCAACAAAACCTTAGGACGCCGAGAACCAAAGAGGCGCCAAATCCCGAAGGACCGCCTAAAAAAAGACGGCGCAACAAAAACGCAAGAACATCAATATCAAAAGGACCCTGAAAACCTACGACAGCCCAAGAACCCACCGCTTGCCGAAAACCATAGCCACGCCATAAACCGAAGATGCGCCGACTACCGGAGCGGCCTCGAAAACCACATGGACGCCCTTTTCCCTTAGACAATCCCTGCCGGAAGCCCCCCCCGCCTCCCTCTCTGTTCCCTAAAATGGACGACAATGGCTTGGAAATCCCTCCCCCGCCCATGTGGCTGAACGAAGGATCCGAAAAATAAACGACCGCCGACAACCAAAGGGCGACGAAAACCGAAGACGCGCCGAAATCACAGCAGCAAAAAAACACCCGAACACCGAAGAGGCGCCAAAATCCGAGAAGGCGCCGAACATGAACACAGAGCTGAACACCGAAAGAGCTCTGATAACTAATCAAAGGAACTCGAAAACCAAAAGGACGCCGAGACCCAAAGAACCGCCAAAAACCAAAAGGGCGACGACAACCAAGGGCGACGAATACTGGACGCCGAACACCAAAAGAGTGCCAAAAGCAAAGAAGTAACGACACCAAACCGGCGCCGAAAACCAATCGAATGCCGAAAACCAAAGAGCCGACGAACACCAAAATGGGCGCCAGAACCCGACGAGGAAGCGCCGAAAACCCAAAGATACGCCGAAAACCAAACGATCGTCGAAACCCATGGCTGCGCCGAAAACCAAAACAGTGCGAAAAAACAAGAACGCGCCGAAAACCAAAGAGGTACCCAGAACTAACGGATGGCCGATCTCAGATGCGAAAATGAGGGGGGGGGAGCTTCCGACCCCCCCCCCTTGAAAGGGACAACCTGGGCTGACCTTGGGTTAGGAAAAGAAGGGGGGGTAGCTTTGAAGCCCCCCCCCTGGCAAGGCAATCTCAACTGCGAAAGGAAGAAGGGGGGGGTAACTTTAAAGCCCCCCCCTTTGCAAACCAATCTCAGCTGCGAAAAGGAAGGGGGGGTAGCTTCCGAAGACCCCCCACCTCTGAAAGTGAAGTTCGGGCTAACCTTTGGTCACGAAAAGGGGGGGATGGGGTCAGCTTCCAATCCCCCCTTCTCCTTCAGTCAGGGCCCCCCAGATAAAACATGCCCACAAAAGGGAGGGAGGGAGGGCCGCTTCGGAAGCCACCCCCTCCTGTTCCAAGGGACAGGTGGGGATAGCTTGAAGCTGGGGCCCTGCTTTTAGTGAGACAGGCGCCACAAGCGCAATCTTTCGCAGTTCAGGCCCGCGCCTTCTAAGAAGCCTTCCTCCTTCCCACTAACCCCTCTTCGCATGGCCGACAGTGGGCAAAGAGGCGTCTATGCACCACCACTTGGCAGCGAGCGCGGGGGGGTCATGAGAAGGGGTGTGCTTGGTCAGACGGCTCGGAAGTCCCCTGGCCTTCCACGAGGTTGCCGAAGCCTTTCCCGAAGACGCAGCAAACTTCCTAGGAGGCCGGAGGGCTTCCGAGAGGACCCGCTGCCCTCTGAGAGGGCCGCCTCCCTCTCACTTCCCCCCCCCGCTCGCCGCCGAAGCACCGTGCGTGGCCGGGGCCATCCTGGCCGAGGCCCCGAGGGTCTGCATGCCATGCCGGGGCCCAGGATGGGCCCTGCCAGGCGTGTTGGTGGTGTGTAGATGACCAGCCTCAAGCTGATCCCTGTCCCTGAGATCGGCAAGCCCAAGGGGAAGGCGATCTTATGGAAGTGCCCTCAGAAGCGAACCACCAGGGCAGGGTGATGCCACACAGCGGGGCACGGATGTGTTTCAAGCTGGTGTGTAGAAACCTTCTGCGGACCAATCCATTCTCTTCGGGCGCGCGGGTGCGCTCGGGCGCGCGGGCGCGCTCGGGCGCGCGCGGAAGCGCGGAAAAAAACCTGCGGGAGGGGCGTGCAAGCGCCGAGGAGGGTAGGTGCGGGAAAGAGCTGCTCGGCTATCCGGGTTTACTTCGTCGAGCTCAGATGGGAACCTGAGCTAGGATGATCCCTCGAGTGGAGGATCGACTAGAGAATTCATTTACCGATGTATCCATAAATCCGTCGAACCTGCGGACAACTACGTAGAATGCTCAGAACCCTACGGAACATTACACGTACATTCCGCAAGATCGACGACAACATAAATCCTGAGGTAAATCAATTGTGTAGTCGATCCCCTACTCGAATCCCCTCACCCCCTGCCCTCCACTGAGGGGGGGGGAGGGGAAAACATCGACCTGGAATCGGCAGTGCGTCGCCGACAGATCGGGGATGGGCTCCCGATAGCCGAAAGCCGCGCGCTCCTCGGCGGGGTGGGCCATCGAGGGCCCCTCCATCGGCGCTCGGTGGGCGGTCGGGGGGCGATGAATTTCCGCCCCTCCCGAGCCTATCCCCTCCAAACTTTGCTCCTTACCCACCCCCCCGCACCCCATCCCCCCCCCCCTCCGGGGCAGCGGCCCAAGGGAGCCCTAGGGGCCCCAGAAAGCACATGGGGAGGAGGAGGAGGAGGAGGAGGAGGAGGAAGAGAAAGAGGAGGAGGAGAAAGAGGAGAAGAAGCAGATGGAGGCGAAGGAGGAGGAGGAGGAGGAGGAGGAGGAGGAGGAGGAGGAGGAGGAGGAGACAGAGGAGGAGGAGGAGGAGGAGGAGGAGGAGGAGGAGGAGGAGGAGGAGGAGGAGGAGGAGGGGAGGAGGAGGAGGAGGGGGGGCACACTGCGCAGGAGGAAGGGGGGGGGGCGGCACGCGCCCGCTGCCGCGGGAAACCCCGCGGCTGCTCCGCCTCCTCTCCTCCTCCTCCAACTCCTCCTCCTCCCTCCTCTCCTCCTCCTCCTCCTCCTCCTCCTCCCCTCCTCCTCCTCCTCCTCCTCCTCTCCTCCCGATCCTCCTCCTCCTCCTCCTCCTCCTTCTCCTCCTCCTCCTCCTCCTCCTCCATCTCCTCCTCCTCCTCTCCCGTCCCCCCCTTCCGAGTTCCTTCCTCCTGCACCTCCTGTTTCTCCTCATCCTGCTGCTCTGTCCGCTGCGTCGAGGCCTTCGATGCCACATGGGTCAGGGAGAGCACTGCCCACGCCTGCTCGGACAGCGGGGAACTCGGAAGCCGACGAAGCCGCAAGTTCTTGACGAACGAACGCTGCTGGACAGGTCTAAGACTATTCTCACGGTGAGACCCACGGATCCTTATGCAGCCGGCACCGTGAAACCAACTACGATGAACATGATGACATGATTCCATCCTCCTCCTGCTGATCACCCGCCTCCCTGAAAAGTACCGATATCGTTACTCCCCTGACTTCTCCCATAATGCGTGATGACCAGGATTTCGAAGCGACGCCAGCCGTGGCGACGACGGCCTCCCAGGAAGCCAAAGAAGGCGCACACGACGGATGGGTAGCGGTACCGTACCTCACCCTCCTCTGATGGAAGAGAAAGAAATCGGAACTATGACCACGACTACACGCGGAAACTTCCGTGTCCATAGTCACCGTCTATCTTGGTCATCATCCGCTCGTGGATCATCCTCGCATATCATGGCCGCCGGCATGGACCCTGACCAGGATAGGTGTCGCCAAGATCTCACGACATCCTAGCCATGGTCATCGCAGTTCTGCACTCGATCTAAGCTTCCTGGCTGTGCCCCGCATTGCCATTGCTCTGACGTCCATTCACCGTGCATTGCTTGGGGAGGGGGGATAAAAAGATACGCAGGATGAGGAAGAGCACGGAAAGGGGACGATAAGTACAAGGGTAGAGAGGGGAAGAGGAGCAGTATTGGGGGACGGGAGAAGGAGGCGGAGCAGGATGGGGGAGGAGGAGGAAAAGGAGGAGGAGGAGGAGGAGGAGGAGGAGGAGGAGGAACAGCAGCAGGGGAAAGAGAGGAGGGGGGGGGCAGGACCATCACATGCCAGGAAGAGTGGGGCAAGAGTTCGCCGACCCGACCCAGCCCAACACCTTGCCAGGGCAACTCGGCCACGACTGCAGCCTGCTCTGCGGCCGCCGGAGCTCCTGCCCTGGGAAAATACCGGCGCCGGGAGCGGGCACGGCGGGGCGGCCTATACGGATGCCTCCAGCGAGCTCTTGGGAGGACAGCGGGAGGGGAGGAGGGAGGGATGGAGGGGAGGAGGAGAGGGGGAAGGGGAGGAGGGGAGGAGGACGGGCGGGAGGGGGAGGAGGGAGGAGGGGGGAGGAGAAGGGGGGGAGAAGGAGGAGGGGGGGGCAGGAGGAAGGAGGGGGGAAAAAGGAGGAGAAGGGGAGGAAGGGAAGGGGGGGGAAGGGGAGGGCAGGGAGGGAGGCGGAGGAGGAGAGGGAGAGAAGGGAGGGGCGCGGAGCTGAAGGAGGGGGTGGCGGGGGCGGGGAGCCTCCGTTCTCCTCGAAGGTGTTGGCCATGTCCTGGGACAGGACCACCGCCAGCGAGTGCTCCTCGCCCTTGCCGAGCCTGCGCACGGCGAGTGCCGGCGGCGCGCACAAGAATCGGGGGCGCGCAGGCATGGACTATAGCGATCCAAGGGTTTGGCGCGCGGTCGCCAAATCCATGGATCGGGGGAGGTGCCCTCCCCAGATTGCGGCCGGTGCCGCCTCGCTCGGCGGCGGAAATCCGCGATTTCCCTTGGAAGCGGGGCCCGTCGCTAGTCCACGCCCCCTTGATCCATGCTTGCGATCGCCTGAGGGGAAGTCCTCTTTGAAACCTTCGGGGCCGCCCCCCTCCCTTTACGATCGGACCTAAGCCAGAAGAGAAGAGCCCTCAAGAACGTGGGACCCTCCACCGGCCAAAGCACGCAAAACACGCAAGGGCACCTCCCCCGGAAGGCGCAAGGACATCCAACAGACACGAAGAACACTTGGGTACCCTCCCGGAGCCGACGTCGTTCTTCTACTTCGGTCCGACTGGACCCCCGTGCGCGTGGCCGAAGGTCCAGCAGAACTGAACACCAACAAGCAGCACCAACAAGCAAATGGACGGCTCCATCCGAGAACCGCCACTGACAAGGGTATGAGCGGCGCGTCGGTGGTTCCCCCGTAGCGGCCACGGGAACTGATCCTGAATGTTGGCATCGCGAACTGCCCAGGATGGAGACAGCTTACCACTTGGAAGCAGGACCGTCGTGAACATGTATGTACAGCGGCAAATACGCGGAACAAATACTACCATAACGGAAGCGGAGATAACAAAACAACGGAAACCTCCATACAAATACATTGTCGGACAACCGCACGGAACTCCGAAATGTTATGGGGTTCGCGCATGATTCGAACGTCGATACGCGGTCATAAAACCAACTGACTGGGAGCGAAAACGAGAACGACACAACCTGACGGCGCAACAGGCCAATGGCGCGTGAACGCCCGGGCGGCACGGGGGCTGAATGCGCCCTCTACAGGCAGTCCTGAACTGCCCCGCAGACCAGAGAGAAAGACGGAGAGGGAGGCCTCCATGTCGAGAACGGCATTGCGCGATCCTCCAATGGCCTACGACATGCTCGAGTCGTGACGGCCGCAGCGCTGGCTTTTGAAACCGCGTGAATCGATCAACCTTGAAGGATCGGCGGCTCATCGGTCGCCAGATTGTTCCATATCGGACGATTTCGATGCACTGGTGGCGTCTCAACCTCAAATGCCCGCGGCAGGGTTGCTGCCGCGTCGACGCGACGCGAACCCGCCGCAGGAAACCGATCCCTGGCCCGCGACGAAAGGGAGGGGGGGTGAAGGGGGCTCTTGGGTGCGTCAGGGCGAGCGGTGCCAAGCGGCGCTGCTCCTTCGGGGAAACCAATAGACACCGACGCCGCTACTCCCCGGACCGCCCCTAGGGTGTTCTGACCAGAAATTCAAAGCGAAACCGACGGTGGCGACGAGGGCCCTCCGGGAGGGCGAAACAAGGGAAAACGAGCGAAGGGCAGCGGTACGGGTACCTTGTCCTCCTCCGAGAATCGGCCCGAACCACCTTCACGACAAGGTCGCCGGGGTGGTCGGGGGCGTCGGCGAGCACCGCGCGCCTGAAAACGCTGGCCGGACCGACGGGCGCGCGAGGGCCAACGGCGTTGACGCGAGGTCAACAACGACAGGTGGCGCGCACGAGCTTAGAAAACTCACAGAGGCTTCGACCGCGGCCGCGGAGTCAATGAGGCGCGGGGCAGCGGTATGTGTATTTGTTCCTCCTTTGATCCTGGGCGCTGGCGCGCTGCTAGGCGGCTCGGCCCCTGGGCGACCGACCCCCCGCGCTAAAAAGAGTGAAAGGCGACTCCAACACCACCGAGGCGAGGAGATGCGATGAGCAAGGGGGTCTCCCTGGTGGTGTGCCCCCCCCCTCTCGCTCGAGACATCCCCAGCCACCAGCTCGGAGAGGCGAATCGTGGACCTCCTCGCCCTGCCATCGCTCGGACGTCCATTCCCTGTGTTTTTTTCGGTTTCGTGAGTGCTTTTTTCGCCAAATGATGAAGGATGTTCCTCAAGGGTCCTCGCCGAGAAAAAAATACACACGTCCGAGCGATGCCAGGTCGCTCGATTGGCCCCCCGTGGTGGCCCTGGTGTTGCTTTCCTTCCCTGGCCGCGCGGCCGGCGGCAGCGCGGCGTCGTCTGCGCGCCCCGCTGCGCAGCGCAGCGCCCGGCTGCCGAAAGCGCTCGACGAAACAGTCGGGCGGCGGGCGCCCGCGCGTGGCGCCAGCGCCCGCTAAACCACTCCTGTGAAGGGGCCCTGGGACACATAAATAAGTACACACAAAAAAACTCCCCATATTTGCCCATGTTTTTCTTGGTTGTTGCCTTCCCCCCACTTCCCATATTTTCCCATATTTTCCTGGGAATCGACGATTAATTGTGTCTGCGTGTTTATTCCCCTCCTAATTCTGCAAAGCCCGAGATCACACCAGCAAAGATCTGACCAAGAGGGCCGCGCCTCGAGCATCCACGGGTCGGCAAGGCCTTTCCTTGAGACAGCGGCGGCCTGAACGACGAGGGGAGTGAAAGAAGAACAGGGGAGCCGCCTCTGGCTCCTCCTCCTCCTCCTCCTCCTCCTGTGCCCTCGTGGCCACCCCACGAGTCCTGGCCCTTCTGCCCCGCTCGCAGCGACGTTCTGGGGCCCCACGCCGGTGCGCCCCGAAGCTCGCCGCGCTCCCCCCTTGAGCAGGGACCGACCGTCCCGGCATTCCTATAGTCATACCACGAAGCGTTCTTAGAACCCAAAAATGTTCTAAGAACAAAAACAATGTTCTTAGAACATAAACCCGATGTGTCAAAACAAGACGGACTCCGCCAGAAATGTTCTAAGAACATTTCGTGGGAACCACAAAAGGTTCTTAGAACATTGTTTGGTAGGGCTACAGGCGAGCCAGGAGGCTTCGCCACTGCTTGACCCCCGTAGTCCAGCCGTCCCCGGCCCGCGCCTGGCCTCCCTTGCTCCCCCGCTGCCCCATGTTCGGTTGGACCTCGCTGGGCGGAAGGCGCTCCTTCCAGGGCGCAGGTCCCAACACGCTCGGACGGCGCGCTCGATACGTCAATCGCACTAAACAAAACAAAAAAAAGAGAACAGGACCAGGGTGAAGCAGTGCGTAGAGCAGGGAATGCAATAGCAGAGTCGCGTGTGTCAGGAGAGGACGGGCAGGGCAGAGGCAAGCAGACTTCTGCAGGGCAGATGAACCCTTGCGACCCTCAGCCGCAGGAAACTCTGACCTTAGGTTTGCTCTTACCGACGATTTGGCTGCTCAGGTTTGCTCCAACCCTGCGAGCATTACCCTCTCTTCGTCGCTTTCGCTGCCCCTCAGCGAGCCTCAGCTTCTCGGATGCGTACAGAAACCCTTTGGGCGGAACTGTTTGCACGCAGCAGCGCGGACCCACGCCGCGGTCGAAGGCAGCCGAGGGGCGCGCACCCCTTGTTCATCGGGCGGGTGGTATGGACGCGGGGTGACATAAATGGGGGGCGGAGGAAAGGGCCGAGACAAAAATCCAAGAAAGGCCCTGTGGGGCCGTTTTCTGCTCCCCCATTTACGTCTCTCCCCCCCCAAACACCACCCGCCCGACTTTAGCAACACACCCTGTAATGAACACGGCACGGGCCCAGACTTGGCGGGCGCAGGCCGGCAACCGAAAGCCGCCGCCATGCGCCATCTCGAGAACCGAAGGGCAATTCTCCGATCGACTTGGCAGGGAAAGGGTTCTGTAATCTCCGGCATTGCTCTGTTCAGCGGCGAGCCTGGGGAGGAAAGGGGAGGGGGCAGGCCTTCGCAGGAGGCTCGGAAGCCCCTCTGGCCCTCTGGGACGTCTTCGAAGCCTTCACTGGAGACGCAAGCAATGTCTCGGAAGGCTGGCGGGCTTCTGCGAGGCCCCGCCGCCTTCTCTGATGGCCTCCTCCTCCTCACTCCCCCTCCCCTCCCACTCCCCCTCCTTGTCCCCTCCCCCTTCCGCTCCCCCTTCCGCTCCCCCTCCTCGTCCCTCCCCCTCATGAGTCTTTACACTCCTCCTCCCCCTCCTGGTCCCTCCCTCCCCCTCCTCGTCCCTCCCCCTCCTCGTCCCTCCCCCTCCCCTTCCTTGTCCCACCCCCCCCTTCCCCCCCACCCCCCTCATGGGTCTTTCCCCTCCCTCGTCCCCCCCTCCTCCCCTGCTTTGCCTGCCCCGTCCCCTGCCTGTCCAGCTCCACCTCCTAAAAAAAAAGAAAAAAAGAAAAAAGAAAACTAAAAATGTCCAAAACATCGTCCCCTGACTATCTTTTGACTATTTGTGAATAGTCCCCCTCCGCCCCACGCTTCCGTCCTGACCCCTCCCCCCTTCCCATCCCCCCCACCCATCCAGAGGGGCGGCTAAGAGAGGAGGCCGAGCAGGATAAGGAAGGGGGGGATGAGGCGGGAGGAGGGGGAGAAGGGGGGGCCCTCTCCCTTCCCACGTGGTCTGCCACTCACCATCACGCGCGAAAGAGATGGGCACACGAGGGAGGAGCACGGGGGACCTCTGAAGGGTCCCTCCTCTCCGCTTCCCTGCCATTCTCTCGCCTTTGCGCCACAAAACCCGCCGACCCTGTCGGCGTGTGTGAGGGGCTTGTCCGTTCGAGTCGTCGTCTCCGTCATTTGTTAGTCGTCGGTTCTGTCGTCCCCCTTCCCTGGGCCCGTCGCCTCTCCCCCCCCCCTTTCCCTGGGCCCTCCTCCTCAAACGCTGGGCCCGTGGCCGCTCCACCCCCTTCCCTAGGCCCGCCTCCTCAAGCGCGCCAGCCAAAGCGAAGTTGAGCAACGTCGTAGTTGACTCGAAGGGAAGCCCCTTCCCTTTGATCCCCCCCCCGCCGGAAGGTGGGGGGGTCCCAAGTCACATACGACTCCCCACCGGGGGGTCCCGGGGCCCAAAAAAGCCCCAAGGCGGGCCAAGAGTGCCCCAAGAGGCCCCCAAGACGGTCCGAGAGGGCGCCGAATCGCCGAACGATCTGTCCAAGACGCCTTGACGGCCTCCAGGCGGCCCAAGAGCTCTGCAAGACGCCAGATTTCACACCGGTTTCTGAAGAATTTCGGCGTTCTCGCCTCTTCCGCTTCCCGACGCTCCAAGACGGCTCAAGAGGCCCCCCAGGTAGCCCCAAGACGGCCCAAGAGGGCTCCAGGAGAGACCCAGAACGGCCCAAGAGGGTCCCTAGACGTCCCCAGACGACTCCAAGACGGCCCAAGAGGCCCCCAAGACGGCTCCAAGAGAGTGGCCAGACGAGGGACCAGAACGGACATGTCGAGCTCTCGGCCCCGAGAGGCTCCCAGGAGGAACCAAGAGGCCCCCAAGAGCCCCCCAAGAGGCCCCAAGAGGCCCCCAAGAGGCACCCTGGAAGCCGCGAGAGCCCCCAAGAGGCTCCCAAGAGGCCCCCAAGAATCCCCCAAGACGCCCCTAAACTGTCCCCCAGAGACCCCCGGTAGCGCTTCGAAGAAATCCCAAGAAACATCTATGAGGATTTTGACCCACGTCAACGTCGTCGTCGTCGCCGCCGCCGCCGTTGTCGTCGTTCCCCTTCAGGGTCGGCGGCGCCGGCCGTAAGGCCTTCGCAATTCGGAGGGAGATGAGGAGGAGGAGGAGGAGGAGGAGGAGGAGGAAAAGGAGGAGGATGAGGAGGAGGAGGAGGAGGAGGAGGAGTAGGAGGGGGAGGAAGAGGAGGAGGAGGAGGGGGAGGAGGAGAGGAGGAGGAGCAGGAGGACCAGGGAGAGGGGGAGGGGGAGGGAGGAGGGCCCACCCGTGCTCGACAGCGCCTGCCAGCAATTGTCGTGAATCCCACTGCGAGGTGCTCACCGGACATGCCTCGGGGTCAGCAAGGATTCTCGTCTCCATCTCTCATCGTCCCTCTCCTCCCTTGTCCCTCCCTGTCGATCCTCCTGCTCCTCCGCCTCCTCCTCTTCCTCCTCCTCCTCCTCCTCCTCCTCCTCCTCCTCCTCCCCATCCACCGCCATCACTATGCCCTTCATCAGTCTTTCCCTTGATGCATACTTCCCAATGCGTCTCCCTTTACCCACCATGCGTCTTCCTCTCTCTATATATTGCCTGTGGTCCAACGTTGGAATTCGACGGGCGCTGCACCTGTCAAAAACAAGAGTAGAGAGTAAACACACTTTCGAAACTGGACATACAATGGCAGAAAGATCTCACGCGCGGCCCTTGAGAATCTGGTACTGGTGCACGGCTCGTTTGATTGACTGCTCACATGTATCAAAGTAGCCACACGTTGAGCTTGCACGCTTTTTCATTATATAGTCTGCTGGTGCTTGCGACAACTCTACGTTGCCTTGTCAGTTGGTTCGTCCAACACCGCGCGTTCTGGCGTGCAGAACGCCTGTGCTGTCTTCGTGGGCCCCTGCAACTTGACTTACAATCGGGGAGACGTAAGACTCGAGATTGAGAGATTCGAGCTGCCCTGACGGCGCCGTCAGAACTCCGACTGCGGACGTCCCGCGCCTAGATGGTAGGTTCGCGCCGTGTCGACCCCGGCGTTGGTTCCTGACACCGCGGGGATCGTTCAAATTTGAACGGTCGGCCGTTCCATTAACGCCGGATCGTTCAATGACGGGCCGATTCTGGGCCACGGGCGGCGTTCAACCTTACACGCACGCGCTGGGGTAGCCGCCGGTCGACACGACGCGAACCTGCCGTTCGCTGCTCCAGCCCCAGCCTGTCGACCGACCGCCCGGCGCTGCCCACCGCCCCAAGCGCCCTTCCAGAACAGCCAGCTATGGCCACCGGAGGGCCCCGGTCGTCTCCGAGACCGCAAGGTCCATCAACATCGAATCGGGAAATCGGATAGGAACGGACTGCGCGTCGGATTGGGCCGCATCGGCACGGAGTCGAAATCGGATCGCATCGGCCGCGCCAGGATGCACCACTACGTCCTGCAAGCGTAGGAACGCGTCGGATCACGGGCACATCGACATCAATCCGGGTCGATCGGATCGATTTGACCCTGGACGGCCGCAAAGCCCTCCCATGCGCCCCACGAGCCAATCAGGGGCCCAGGCAGCTCTACGGCTCTTCAGAAGACCCTGTGTGCGAGGCGCGCCCGCGTGGTCGCTGTCGGCACTCCAACGCGTGTCTCGGGGTGGCCGTCGGCGCTCCTCGTAACCGCTTCCTAATGGAAACTAATCATGTTTTGCGCGCGGATTTCTTGACGGATTGGAGCCGAAAAGGATACCTGGAAAATATTTCCCCTCGCAAGGCGGCCATTGCTGGAGATCCTAGGGATTTCTAGGAGCCCTCGGATTCCTCAAGGATCCTTTCGGATTCCCTCAGGATTCGTAGGATTCCTAAAAAAGTGTTCCTACACATTCTAGGATTCGTATGGTTCCTAAGGGATGCTCAAAGATTCCTAAGGATTCCTCGGATTCGTCGGTTTCCAACGAAACATTCCCAAGGGTGCGTAGGAGTCTGCAGGATAGGATTCCTGGAATCTCTGGGAATCCACTTGATTCCTGAGTCTGATAGGAGATCCTGGAGATTCCTAGGATTCCAAGGACTCCCTTCGGATTCCTGTGCAATCCTAGTGCCCCTTCAAAACGATGACGAGAACGATCACGACGACGACGACGACGAGGACACGGCGCCGAATCAAATGGAGATGCAGCGAATTATTTGTCAATCCTTTTGCACATAAGCTGAACATAGCTCAGTCGTGCAAAATAGACTGGATAATCAAGTCCACCAGGAAAGATAACCATCCGACAACAAACCACAAGCGAACAATAGTGGGCAAATACTTGCACGCGCGGCACACACCGACCAAGATAACCACAACTATGGCGAATTGTTTCTGCGCAAACTTGACCGCGACACCCATATGAAGACAACGACGATCGCGACGACGAAGGTTGCGGTGATGACGACGTCGACGCAGACGACGTGCCGACTCGATTGGAGATGTAACGAATTATCTTGCAGTCCTTGTACAAGCAAGCTTGCATGTCCTTCGGAAGGAGCAATAACCACCTAACAACAACCCACAAGCGACCAACAGTCTGCAAACATCCGCGAGGTGGGGGAAGAGGAGTCCTCGAGGAGGGAGGGAGGGGAGCACGAGGAAGAGGGCGAGAAGGGAGAGTAAGGAGGGGGAGCACGAGGAGAGACAGGGCGAGGGAAGGGGCGAAGAGGGGAGCACGAGGAGGAGAGCGACGAGGGACAGCGAGGAGCAGGAGGGCGAGAAGGGGAATGACGAGGAGGGGATGGTCGAGCATTGCCAGCCAGGAGCATGCTTTCGGGGGGGCGCAGCATTAAAGAGCCTCTGCGGCTGTTAGCTGGCAGAATGTGGTCCACATTCTGCAGCACAGGCGTTGACCCTGGATACGCCTGGTGGCTGCTGATGACAAATCGCGCAAATATCTCAAAACTCTAACCGTTTCGTTTAGCCCTCGCTCACACGGTGCCTATTGGAAGCCGGGTCGGCGTAGGCCTTGACATTGACGCTGGCTACTGAAACTGAAGCCGAAGAAAACCGATGATCTAAACCAGAGCAGAATGATGCTACGGCACAGGTCGCACCAACCGAGCCGTCAACATGCCCTGCACCTCGCGAGCAGCCCTCACAGAATTTGGCCACCTGCAAAAACAACCGGTGCACTTCCCCACCCGCGAGCCTCAAGAACAACGAACCCAGTTACTGCCTCGCTGACGATTGGCGGTTGGCGGATTCCAGAAGCCATGCTCCCAAAAACGTTGCAATTTCTTGGGGGCCCATATTCTACTTCAGCCGGCTTCCGCGGGCCTCCGCCGGAGGAGGCAGCCTATTTGTATTGCCGCCCCCTTCCGCTGGCGCTCCGCCGCCTTCCGCCGAAGAGACGGCAACTCCTTGAACCCTCGGAGGCAGGGCCCGGTCTGGACCGACTCCATTGGCATCTCGCCTGAACCAGGTGCCGAATGGCAAAACACAAAAAAAAGGCTTGTGAGATATGAATGCTGGATCGGTCACCCCATGCGCCCATGGGTGCAGGGCTGCGCCAGAGGCTCGCCTCGGTGATCTTTGAGAACCGACACGGCACGCTTTCACTATTTCAAGCACCCTTTCGTGAAAGCTTCCACGGGCACGCGAAGTGCGCACGGCACCACACTCCCAGTGGACCGGGGCGGGCAGCCAAGCGACACCCAACAACAAACAAAGTCCTTTGCCAAAACACACGTCGATTGGTGAAACCGACACTTTTTCCGCTGCGGCACGGCAGAAGCAATCCGCACGGGCGTTCGCAGTATTGAGCAGGGACCGACCGTCCCGGCATTCCTATAGTCATACCACGCAATTTTCTTAGAACCCCAAAAAATGTTCTAAGAACAAAAACAAGGTTCCTAGAACATAAACCCGATGTGTTAAAACAGTACTGTCCCAGCCAGAAATGTTATAAGAACATTTCGTGGGAACCCCAAAAGGTTTTTGAAACATTCTGTGGCAGGCCACAACAAAAGGGCTATAGGGCTATATAGGCGAGCTGGGACGCTTTGCCACTGCTTGACAGTAGCCGAGGACACTCGACAACTGAACTGTCCGGATGCAAGGAAGGGGGCGCGGGAAGGCATCACGGCCGCGGAGGAAGCGGAAAGGGAGGAGGGCACTCCCAAGTGAAATAATTTCACGGCGAGCGGCCGGTGTGGCCAGCCAGGGATGCGGTGCCAGGGCAGCGGACTGCACTGGCACAGTCGAATGTTAGTCGACAGCACCAGTGCAGATTTCCGCAGTCGACCTGTTTGGGCGGGCGTTTTCTCAATGCCCCATTTCCTACAATCCAATGGTGACCAGTGACCACCAACTCTCGCACCACGCACCTGACGACAACGTCCACGACACGGTCGGTGATCGTGGCACTTACGCGCGACAAGTTCGACCACCACTGGCTTGGATGCCCAATCATGCGCTGTCCTCATTGTTTTGATACGCGGACCCGGGAAATCCTGACCGTTTTCTCCCGGACAAGCTTATCATCCCAAACGAAGCCCGGTCAAGCCCCCCCAAGGCCCAAATCGACCAAACACCAGGCATAAAAAATCGCGCTCCAATTTGCTCGATGCGTAGGTCCCGAGAGGCCTGGACAACTGTCCCAGGGCTGCTTTTTCGTACTCAGTATTTCTCTTTACGGTCCCAAGGCCCGTCGAGGGCCCCTGGAAGCAGACGATAGCATCAGACTGGCCGCTCCAATTCTGTCGGAACCCGATCTCTGAATCGGCGACACCGTCTCGACTTGCCGTGGCATGGATGGTCTTTCCTTGCGCGCAATGCACGGCGCTTTCTGTTTCAACGTGGACTTTATATTAACCGCCCATCGAAGCCCAGTGGCACGGGGAGGAGGAGGGCGAAGGGGGAGGAGGAGGGCATCGAGAACACAGAGGGGGAGGAGGGCGAAGGAGGGCATCGAGAACACACAGGGGGAGGAGGAGGGCGAAGGGGAGGCCTGGGGAACAACGGAACCTCCGGAAAAAGGGGGGGGGGAGGCGGAGTGGCAGCCTGCGCGCGGGCACGCTCGGCAGCAGGAGCGCTGCGGGGCGCTGCCGGGGGGGGCCCATGAAGAGCGGCCGTCCGCGAGGCCGCACCGCGCGCCGCCGCCGCTCCCCGAGGGCGCAGGACAAAAACAACCATGGAACCATGGAGAACAGAAAGGCGAACCCGCGCGAGAGATCTGCCTCACGGGGAGTGCTGCCTCATCGCACAACTCGCCATCGATCGGACGTCCATTCCGTGTGCTTGTTTGTCGGTTTCGTGCGTGGTTGTTTCGCCAAGTGATCGAGGAGGCTCCTCGATGGTCCTCGCCGAAGGAAGTATGCACACGTCCGAGCGATGCCGAGACAACGGGCCGCCCTCCGCCCCCGCACGGGGTGATCACCCTCCTGACGTGCAGGGGAGGCCGCTCCCCCATCGGCGAGGAACTCACGCAACACGGTCGAGGTACAGGTCAGCGCCTTGTCGCTCGAAATGGAAGTACAAGGTCGAGGTACAAGAGCGACAAGGCGCAGGAAAAAGGACGGACGAGGAGGCAGGAGAGGAGATCCTGGCGTCTCGAATGTGTCGAAACGGCCGCTTTCGCACAGTTTCGGGCCCGAGATCTCTCCCCGGAAAAGATGGATGGCGGCGAAAAGCAACAAGAGGCGACTCACACCATCGATATCCCTGCCGATGTGGCCTTTAATGTCTGCCCGTCTGAACTGCTCCGTGTCCGCCGTCGACTGCATCGTCATGTCGCACCCCTGCGCCCTCAACATCTGGAAGCACGCTCCGCCCTTGCCGACGACCTTGCCGGTGGCGCGGCATTTCTCCTCCGTCTCATCCTCCTTACCGTTCCTCCTTCTCCCCTTGCCCCTCGCATCTGCAGCTGCACAGTTCGAGCTCTACGGGGAAGCACGCAGCCTGGTCGTGCAGGGATGCTACTGCCTCAGCTGCTGCAGGCCTGTGCGTCACGCGCGGCAGGGGGCGTGGATCCAACTGGCGGCAGCCGAACGTAGGAGAACGGCGAAGCCAGGACCGACGACAGCCGAACATGCATCCTGCGCTCATTTTCCCGACTGCATAAGAGGCACTTCCTTTCCTGCCTCCAGTGTGCGTTCCTCCGTATTATTATCCTGCGCCTCTTCGTCCTTCCACATGTCCTCCTGATTCCCATGTCCGCTTCGCACCTCGTTTCTTCGGCCTTCTGCTCGTCCTGTTCCTCCGCACTGCCTCCTTTTTCTTCACCCCCTCCCTTTATTTGTCTTTCCCTCCCTCCGTCCGCCTCCCTTCGCCGCTATCTCACCTTCCTCCGCGTGATCACCTCCGCCTGCGAGAGAACGCCTTTGGTGGACGCCTGCACAAGAAACATCCCTGGACGCGTCGGACCCCTCCCCACCAACAACAAAACACGCTGAAGCGCCCAAGGAACCGCCCCCCCCGCCTCCCCCCTCCCCCCGCCCCTCCTCCTCCATGCTCTTCCCGCGCATCCTCCTCCACCTCCTCCCAGACAAGGACTTGCAGCAGAGGCGCAACTGAAAAGGGCACGCTCGCAGCTCAAAGCCATGCGAGGAACTGCCTCGACAAATGGGCGCGCGCGCATCGGCGCGGGCGGGCAGGCCGGAGGCGTCTGGCATGGCCAAACCTGACCCCGCCGCCCTCCGCCGCGGTGCAAACAGGAAGCCGGTATCCCAGATTCGGGCGCCGCGATCATCCAGTTCCCTCTGGGGGTCCACCAGTATCTTTTCGGCCCCTCCAGCGCTGCCTGGGCCAGTGCTTTGCTGCCGCTGCTCATAGCTGCTGCCCAAGGGAGTTTGGATCGCCCCGGCTTCGACAGCACGACTTGCTCTTTCGTGGCGAGCTCATCCCCCTTCGAAAAGCGCGAGGGCGGCAATCTAGGCAGATGCGCGTGCGCTGGAGCGTGTCCCTGGAAGCCGGCGAACGCAGCGGAGGCAGTTCCTCGCCCGCAGCTCCAGCGACCCCCGCCCGAGCCCTTCGCCAGCGGCAGCGCCAGCCGAGAGCCAGCTGACCCGCCCGCCCAGGACGGCGAGGGCGCACATGGCCGCCGATGGCTCCAAGGCGGCCCGGGGCAGCTCGCCGCGGGATCATGCAGGAGGACCTCGAGGAAGACCTATGGTTTGGTACTCCGAGGCTCCCAGCTGCCCATGAGAAGGCCGCAGACGGTCCCAAGACAGCTCGAAAAAAACAGACGCGAGCCAGGGCGGCGGCAACTCGTCAGAGGCATCTTCGATACAGCCTCGCAGAGAAACTGGCACAGAGCATCGCCGCTGGGCCACCCGCCCACAGACGGCGGGCAGAACTGATGCACCTGAGCCGCTTCGCGGGCAGGAACAGCCGCCAAACCGCTGCCCGGAGCTGCGTTCGCTCGGGTCCGAGGTCGGCCAAGGAGGGGGGCGTCCAAGGGGGGGGGGGGGGGGGGGGGGCGCAACTCATGGCCGGCGGCACGTGCGCGGCCCAGGGGGAGGGCCAGGAACGGAATGAGACAAGAAGAGGCGCCATGAGATCTGGGGAGATATCATGGCCCACGCCAGGATAGCCCACCCCCCTAGTCATCACCCCCCTCTTCGCCGCCCCCGAAACCCCGCGCGTGCCGCAGGGGGCCGGGCCTCCAGAGCACCACCCAGAGTCTGAGCTTACGTCGGGCGTGTCCCCCTGCAGGGGGATTTTCGACGAAAAATTAAAAGCACTCAAAAACATTCCAAAATGGTTAAAACATATTCAAAAAGTAGTCCCCAGACTATTTTTGGAATATTTTGAGGATATTTTTGGTTCTTCGTCCAAGCTCCCCCTGTAGGGGGACAGGTACGACTTGAGTCTAAGCCCGCCCGCCAAGCCAGCACGTCCAGCGGGCCGCCCGCGGTCGAGCCCGGGGGCCGCAGGCCTCTGGAGCGGCAGCCAGCCCCCGGGGGAGCACTTCGAGCCAGAACGCCGCTGGGTGCACGGCGAGGAGCGGGCGTCTTCGGGCCAGCGTAGGAGAAGGACTGCAAAGGCGAGCGCGCCGGTTCCTGACCCGGAGTCGAAGTCGCCGGGCGCTCGCGGCTTGAGGGTTCCAAGTCGCCCTCATGTCTCCTCCCTCCTCGTCCTCCTCCCTCGCGCGCTACGGCACGGATGGTCGCGAGTCCTCGTGAATGCACCTGTTGGGAGGGCAGCTCCGTATAAACGTCAGAAGCTTCTTCTCTACGTTGGAGGTCCGAGGAGGGGCCAGGATCTCCAGGGTGGATTCGAGAGCTCCAAGGTCGACCCCTCCATGTTTTCGAAGACTAAGCTGATCCTGACATGTTTTCGAAGCTGACATGTGTCCCGGGGTCAATCCTGACATGTTTTCGAAGCTGATCCACCCGTGGCGACGAGAAACCCGCAAGGGCTTTCCCATGATTCCGACATGCGCGCGCGAGAGGCCGGCTTGATAGTATTTGATGAACATGTTCAGTGGGTATCTTCAGCATTCGCAAGAGCGCGAGCGCAAGTTTTTTTGTCAATGCTGCGATACTGTGTCGGGACACTCGATTTGGACATCCCTACGAAACCTAAGATGTTTGAAGGATTTCGGGATGCGCGCGCGACAACGCACGCGTGTGTACTTTGCCCCATGTTCTCATGGGATTCCTGCGATACCACGCACATGCGCAAGGGCGTTCGAAGGATTAAGGCATGCGCGCGCGAGGGGCACGTTTGGTCGCATGTCACGAACATCTTTCATTTTTCCTATAACATAGGTTTCGCAAGACCGCGAGCGCAGGCTTGTTTCTAACATTTCGGGTGCGAAGCCATTGGTTTTGTAGATGTTTTCGGGACACTCGACTTTGAAACCCTGGCGAACCCTAAGGCTGTTGAAGGATTTTAGGGTCCGCGCGCGACGACACGCGCGTGTGCACTTCGTCCATTTCATTGCAAAAGACTCTTGGAACATAGATCTTTGCGAACTATTTTGTTTCCACTTGATCAGGGGGGGGGGAGTCGACACTGCTTTGGCTGGGATCAGATTAATTCATATCTAGAACGAACAATGGAGCAAAACCACATGTGAATTGCACATATCCAGGGGGCGGATAAATCTGGCCTTGGGGGTGAGATAGATCGTAGTTCCTTTTCAGACAGAAATCTACGTGGCGCCGTAGATGTATGTACGTATGCATACGTGTGTATACATATGTACATGTGCGATACAATCTGCGACCTTCTCCAATTTAGGTGGCGACAGGCCAGCGACGGCGACAACATAGTCGCCAGACCGGCGATCAGGTCCAGACGACGGGCGGCGAGAAGGCGGCGACGGGGCGGCGACGGCGGCAGCATAGCCGCCAGACCAGCAATCAGGCCCAGACAAAAGGTGGCGACGAGGCGGCGAATGAGAGGCGTCGGCAGCAACATGGCCGTCAGACCGTCAGACGGCAATGAGGCCCAGTTCCTTGGAACAGAAGTAAGAATCCCCGAGTGCAAGCGCTGTTGGGGAAATGATGCAGCAGATCGCAGTGTAGCACAGCATGCCATCATATGTCCTAGCGCAGTGCCCAATAGCACAGTACAGCTTCGCAGACCACAGCAGATCATGTTATTCAATACTGCGTGGTTGTCAATTCGGCATTGCGCGTCATAGTGTAACATTGTGTGGTTAAGTCATTCCGAAGTGTATGGTGGCACCAGAAGTCATGGCATGGTATGGTATGACATAGTGTAGCATAGTACAGCGCAGTACACGAAAGCACAGCACACCATAGCATATGGGGCGTAACACGCTGTTGTGTTTTCAATGTCTGGGCATTGTGTTCCTTTTTTGTTTTTGTAATATGCCTGGCTTATGGAAGCGCTAGATGACTGGAACACATGGATGTTCCTTGTGGGGTGTAAATGTGCATGGTGTCTGGAACGTATGGCAACTCTGGAATGTCTGGAAACAGTTTGTTCTTTGTCTGAATGTCATGAGCGTCTGGATGCAATGCGTGCTTTATACTTCAGAAACTACAACGTCGTTGTAAACATTGTGGAACTACTGTGATGGCGAGAGCTTCTGGAAGAGCTCCAGGACTGCTGAGGCTGCAGAGTTGAGAGACTTGAAACTCAAACGAATTACACAACACAAAGGAGCCAGCCCTGATCTGCTATTCATGTGCCGAGTTTCCACCACTGCTACCATAGGTAGGAGAGGGAGGAGGACCTCTCCATCCTCCCTTCTCTCCCGTCCTGCCTATGGTAGTGGTGGTGTAAAGTTGGCCCCGAGACACACCGGGTATGAACAAAGATCTGGCCCCTAAATAGAAGAACGATTGTTATCCATATCCGATGCGCCTCAGCCGTGTGGTGCCCCCTCCAAGAAAGTCCAAGCCGCAGTGGGCATGGCGCTGTATCTTGCCTGCAGCGTCGAGCCGATGCATCGGCGATGCGACGCGATTATCCGACCCCATCTGCTTCGAACCCATCTGGGAGGCCTAGGGCTGGGGAGACCAAAAGGCACCGACACCGCGACTCCCCGGACCTCTCCCGTGGCGCGTTCTGACCCGAATTCTGCGGCGAATCCGGCGGTGGCGACGAGGGCCTCGGACCTTCTCCGAACCCATCTTGGGGGCCTAGAGCAATGCTTTCGAGTGGAGATGCTGGACAGAGTGAGGGGGAAACTGGGACACACAAACAGATACACACAAGGAAGAGGATTCCCCGTCTGCTCCCCTATTTTCAGGGCTCTTGTCTTCCCCTCCACTTCCCATACTCTACAATTTTTGTTCCTGGGGATCGACGATGAATTGTGTCTGTGTGTGTGAGTGTGTGAGTGTGTGAGTGTGCGAGTGTGTGAGTGTGCGAGTGTGTGAGTGTGTGAATGTGTGCGTGTGTGTGTGTCTGAGTGTGTGTGTGTTTCTTGTTCCCTCCCCACAGAGGTCTGCCTCCCACCCTCGAGGTGCGGCGCGCCGCGCCGCGCGGGGCTCTGGGCGAGGGGCAACGCTGGGGGGGGGGGCATAGGGCTAAGGGGGGGAACCATCGGATAGGGATAGGGGGGGATAGGGATAGGGAAACATGGGACAGGGAGAGCGGGGGGGATAGGGATGGGGATAGGGGGGGATAGGGAATAGGGGGGGGATAGGGATAGGGAGATATGGGACAGGGAGAGGGGGGGGATAGGGATGGGGATAGGGGGGGATAGGGAATAGGGGGGGATAGGGATAGGGATAGGGGCTAGTCCGCGCCCCCTTGATCCATATTTGCGATCGCCTGAAAGAAGCAGGGGTGTTTCGAAGAAGCCCTCCCCCCTTCCCCCACCTGAGCGGCAACGATAGGGGGGGACTGGCATTGAGGGGAATGCATCGACCTGGAATCGGCGATACGTCGGCGAGGCATCGGCGCTAGACCACCGATAGTGCATCCGCACGTTCCCGGGGAGGCTGGGGCTACTGGACGCCTATCGGCGATCAGTGGGCGATTGGGGGTCGATGCATCCCCCCTGTGCCCATCCCCCCCTATCGTTGCCCCTGACCACCCCCTCCACCCGTGGCAGGGACCTGGGCACCGACAGGAAGCCTCGCGCCTCGGCGCCTCTCTCCCTCGCCGCCGCCGCGCTGCACCGGCTGCCAGGACCACCGCTGCTGCACCATGGCCGGGGGGCATCCCAGACATGCTCGCGTCGTGAAAAACAGAAAACACGACGGGAGGCTGTTTGGGGGTCGATGCATCTCCCCCTGTGCCCATCCCCCCCTATCGTTGCCCCTGACGGGGGGAGGCGGCTGGCGGCACGGGGCCTTCCCGGCCTGGGCGTCGGGCACCAGGAGGGCGACCTTCACCGCCTGGCCACCCGGGAGCGGCAGGGGGCGGCCACGACAACGGCGGAGGGGACGGCGACGGCGACGACGGCACCAGGATTAGGTCGGTCCTGTCTCCCTACAGGCCGATGTTGGACGAAAAAAAGAAATCGTCGAAACATACCCCCCGAATGTTCAAAAATAATCAAAAATCATCCCCTGACTATTGTTTGACTATTCTTGAATAGTCCTCCTGTAGAGGGACAGGCCCGACTTAACACTTATCACCGCCTGGCCACCGGGGAACGGCAGGGGACGACCACGACGACGGCGTCCTGAAAGTTGCAAGGAACATTGTACAGGCCTCGCGCGGTAACTTGAGACTCAACTTACAGCGGATCGTCATCGGCTTAACGACGGAGTAAGGTCGGAACATCACTGCGCGTCCTGTCGTGGACGCGCTGACCCTGGTCAATGTAAACCCGGGAAAACCACGACAACAAAGTTCGGCGGCGAGCCTGTGGGGGAAGTGAGAAAGGGGCGGGCCTTTTCAGAAGATTCGAAAGCCTCGGGACTTCGGCGAAATTTTCTCAGGTTTCCCCTGGGCTTCACCCCCTGGCCACCAGGGAGCGGCAGGGGACGACCACGACGACAGCGTCCTGAAAACTACAAGGAGGCCTCGCGCGGCAACTTCAGACTCAATTTGATTACGTCGGATCCGCTTCGGATTTACGTCGGATGTGCCGGACTTGTGTCGGAACATCGGGACAATCAGGCTTTGCAGGATCCTGCTGGATCCTGGCGCAAGCCCGCGTCAGTGCACCCCTGGCTCTGCAGGATCCTGCAAAATCCGGCGCTCTGGCTCACCACCGTCTGCATGAACCCCCGCATCTGACTTGAGCAGGGACCGACCGTCCCGGCATTCCGAGTCCTATACCGCGAACTGTTCTCAGAACCCAAACGTGCTCTAAGAACCCCCAATGTGTTCTCAGATTACAAGCCCGATGTGTGGAAACAAGACAGTCTCAGCCAGACATGTTCTGAGAACATTTCGTGCAGAGCACAGAGTGTCCTTCGAACATTGTTCGGTGGGTCTCATCGGCGAGCCAGGACGCTTCGCCACTGCTCGACTCGCAGCTCGGCCCCGAAAGCGCCTCCCGCAGCCGGCCATCGGACGGCGGCCCACCCCGCGGGGCAGCAGCGAGCCAGACCCTCCTCCATCCGCGGCAGGGACTTACCAGCCTCGAACGTATCCCTGTCCCTAAGATTGACACGCCAAAAGGCGCTGACAATCTTAGGGATCCGCCCTCAAAAAATTGGGGAATCCCTAAGATTGGCATCGTGATGAGGAGGTGCCCAGCATAGGGATAGGGATATGTTCCAGGCTGAAAAGGCACCTTTGGCTGCGCGCACAGGGGGGCGGAGGGGAGGGGGGGAGGCTTCTTAGAAGGAGGCTGCTGCTTAGAAGGCGCCGGCCGCGCCTTCTAAGACTCGGGGGCGCGCAAACATGGATGATTAGCGATTCATGGGGGGGATGCCCTCCCCAAAATGCCGCCGTTCGGCGGCGGTCATCCGCCATTTCCCATGGAAGCGGGACCCGTCCCTAGTCCGCGCCCCCTTGATCCATGTTTGCGATCGCCTGAAAGAAGCAGGGGTGTTTCGAAGAAGCCCTCCCCCCTTCCCCCACCTGAGCGGCAACGATAGGGGGGGACTGGCATTGAGGGGGATGCATCGACCTGGAATGGGCGATACGTCGGCGAGGCATCGGCGCTAGACCACCGATAGTGCGTCCGCACGTTCCTGGGGAGGCTGGGGCTACTGGACGCCTATCGGCGATCAGTGGGCGATTGGGGGTCGATGCATCCCCCCTGTGCCCATCCCCCCCTATCGTTGCCCCTGACCACCCCCTCCACCCGTGGCAGGGACCTGGGCGCCGACAGGAAGCCTCGCGCCTCGGCGCCTCTCTCCCTCGCCGCCGCGGCGCTGCACCGGCTGCCAGGAACACCGCTGCTGCACCATGGCCGGGGGGCATCCCAGACATGCTCGCGTCGTGAAAAACAGAAAACACGACGGGAGGCTGTCTGAGGCAATCTTCTGCCTCTGGGTGCCCTTCCCTGGCACCGGGGCCGCGGAACCGGGAAGGGGTCCAGACATCTGGGGGCCCACGGAGAAGCGATCAAGGAGCCCTGAGATCCAGGCGTCTCGATTTTACGAGCCGGGCGTCTTCGCGGGGTCTCACAGGCCCCAGGGCCCTCACGGATTCATCCGCCTCAAAGAGATCGGCTACACGCAAGAGTGACCTTGGGTAAGAGTGACCTTTGGTGCGCGGCTTTTGGGGGGCCGCGGGGGGACCAAACCTGGGTGCGCAAGCAGCTGCTACTGCTTCGTCTTCGGCCATCTGGGGGCCCATCTGTGCCCGCACCAAAGGTCACTCTGGCGAAAGGTCACCCTTACGTCTAGTCGAACAGAATGGTACAGGAAGATGGGGTCGGAGGCTCCGGTCGTGATGTTCGCGATGTGTTCGCGATCTTGCACTCTCCCCGGGCCTCCAGGCGCGCCCTGTGGTCGGCCGTGGGCCAGCAGGCCATGTTCAGGATCGCCGCGCCAGGCGGCACGACACCCTCTCCGCTCGCCAGGAAGCTGGGTGACGGGATTGGCGGCGCGCGCAGCGATGCCGGGTGATGGGGCGGACTTCCAGCATCCCTCTCGGGAGCGATCGGATAATCCCAGCAGCCCTTTGAGCGTCGGCGGTTTATCGCCCTCGATCTTCCAGCCCCCTCCTTGCGTTTCGGGGAGGGGCTTGCCCTACGCTGGGCGACATCACGCCTCCGGGAGGTGTCTTGGAGGGTCTTGGGAAGCTCCTGTGGGCCTCTTGAGGCAGTTTTGGCGCCAAGGACGTTTGCTCTTGATAGTCTTGCTGGAGATTCGGATGGGCTGGGAGGTCTGTTGGGGCTCTTTGGGGGGATTCCGGGGCCGCCTTGGGCCCTCTTGAACGCGGATTGGGGCTCCCTTGGGGCTCTCCTGGGGCTTACATGGGCCTTCTTGTGAGATCTTGTGGGCCACTTGGGCCGTTTCGGAACTCTGAAGACCGACAAAAGCGAGAAGCTCAAATCATACAGAATTGGGCCGTGTCCGTCCTGGGGCGCCTTGGGGGCGCATCGGGCCTTCTTGGGGCCGACCCGCAGTCTGTCTTGCTGTATCAGGTCAGGTGGGCGCCAAAAAAAGTTGTCTTACGCGAGGTTGCACAGCGTCATTGCGCCGCAGCTTCCACGGGCCGCCGGCGCGGCACGCTTGAAGTGGAAGCGAGGGGCGCGCGAAAATCGGTGAAGACACTCCCGTTTCTCTGCGTCGCCTAAACGGTGTCCTTTTTGTCCGACGTCACCGGCGAAACTGCCGAGCTGTAGTTCGGGGCCCCGGCCAGAGCGCACCGGTGCAACCTCGGGGACTGCAGAAGGCTGCGCGCGCCACCCGTGCAGCCTTGCGCGTGCCTGGCTCGCGAGGGGAGGGAGAGAAGGCGGCGGAGAAGGCAAGAGGCCATGTCTCATTCAGGAGGGAAGAAACACACAGACACAAGTAATCGTCGACTCCCAGGAGAAATGGGAAAATATAGGAAGTGGGGGGGGGAAGACAAAAACCCAGAAAATATGGGAAAAGATTGGGAATCCTGTTATTTGTGTGTATCTATTTGTAGGTCCCAGGGCCCCTTCACTTATCTGCTTCTGTCTTCTGTCGTCTGGTCGTCTTGGGCCGTGTTGGAGACCTGCCGGACAAGGACGGGGCCCACCGCGCTCTGGTCTCGTCGCCGCGCGTGGACTGGAGTACGCTTGCTTGTCAGACGAAGACGCTCTTGTGGGTCTGGACGGGGGGGGGGCTCTACCAGTCAGAGCGTCCAGGATGGCCGAAGATGGCTGCAGTATGGCTTCCATGTACAGTCGGACTCGATTGGAGGGGACACGCGAGAGGACACAAGAGCCTTCCGAGGGCCACATTGCCACAGGAATGTAGGAAGCATGGGTCGCAAGACACAGGACACGAGGGTACCCTTGATCTGGCAGGGTCGACCTACTAATCCGGGCCGCCTGTAGCAAGGAGCCTCCCCAGGATGCACCCCCGAGATACCAAAATCCTTCGAACGTATTGGATGTTCAGTGTGCTTTTGCCTTCTTTCGCTTCCGATGGGCCACTGGGGCCTGAAGATTGCTTCCGAATCGCACAAGGGAGACCCAAAATGTGGCCATGAAGGCTCCAAGACGGCCCGAAGAGGGCTCGGCTCCTCCAAGATGACCCCAAGTCGAGCCCCAAGCCCTCTAAGAGGGGCCCAGGAGGGCCACAAAGGCCTCAAATATTGTCCAAATGCCGCTCAAAGATGGCCTCGAGAAATCTTCGTTTGCCTCCCGGTATAAAAGAAACGCGACTGCCCACATGGTTGCCTCTTGGGTCTGCTCAGGCTGCTGCAGAATTTTGGCTTCACGGCTGCCAACCACCTCTGTGTTTCACTGCATGCTCCTACAATGGACGGGCGCATTCGGATAGGCTTGTAAGACGTCGGGAAGGCCTCTGACAAGCACCCCCCTCGCCCGCGCTCTGAAAAGCCTCTCGTCTTCCCAGAGGCCACAGCCCTCGACCTCGCCGATTTGGATCACCGCCGACGGATGGAAGACGAACCACAGGGGAAGGGAAAGGGAAGAGCATGTCCATCATCCAAGGGGGGGCTTCTCAGAAATGATCGGAAAACCACTGGTAATGTTTCGCAACAGTGTTCGGGAGCTCCAAAACATGATGTTTCCTGAAACGGGTCGGGTGATTCTAGTGCTTCGCAATGACACAGGGGGGTTCCTTAGAGGAGATCGGACAACACTGGACGTGCGTTTTTTTAATAGCGCTTACCATCTTGTGAGTTAGCGGCCATTCATTACGGGCCCCAGTCCCCGTCTCGCCCCCCTGGCAACGTCAAGATTACTGGGAATGCCGAGGGAAGCCCATGAAAGCCAGACTCGCAAATACCGATGGGGATCTCCTATAGGAGACCGTGCGATATGCTATGG